AGTTGTGAAAATACAGAGAAACAAAAACCTTATGTTTGTTTGAAGCCAAGGCCGCTTTATATTGGTGGAGAATATTTTTTGTTGGTTAAAATCTGTGTCAGTTTAAGTCTTTTAATAGTTGAAATATTATATATTTTTTTTCCATTTTATAACGGTCGTCATTAAAGAAATTTTTTTTATGTTCAAATACCAGCTTTAAGAAGGAACAATAGTTAAGTTTAAAGCTTTTTCAGCTCGGGGAAGCAGTTTTTAAAGTTTCTTAAAAAAAAAAAAAAGAAGAAGAAAGAAAGTTGGTTCGGAGCCAGTTTTTGGAGAGATTTAGTTTTTCGCCATGAAAACATCCAGTTTACGAGGAGAGGAAACATAGCGGTGTATGGTGCCAATACAAAAATATTTGTCCATCGGAGACATTTCAGTTGGCTGTGGAGTAGCTACTATGCGAACAAAAAGAAAAAGAAAGAAAGAAAAAAAAATAATATTGGACTTTATATATAAGTATGCATGAGAATAAGAAAAGCTGCAGACATTTCCATTAAAAATGTATAAATATAAAATATTGTTTATTTGTAAAAACCGACATTCTCTAAATTTCTTAAAGCAGATTCGAATCTTGCAAGATTTTAAGTGCGAGATGAAACTTTCAGGGAGAGAATAACATTTTAATCTGATAAAGAAAGGAGGCTTAGATTCGAACTGCCCCACCTCAGCGCGACGCATGAGTAGAAGGCATATCAGATCCAAAATATTGTCATTTGGAAACAGTTAAACTATTTTAATCTGTTTTGAAAATAAAAGCAGACAGTCTGAATGAAGCGGACAAACTTCAGCTTCTGTTTCTGACTTTACAATTAAGTTTATTATATTTGGTTTGATCTGTTACCTCATCCTTCGCAAGGCCTCTGATATACGAGAAATATCTTCTGCTTTCCTGCGCCGCAGTTATGTTATTGTTCTATAAAAAGACTGGAATAGATCTATAAATGCATGCAATATAAGACAATTTTATGACTAAAACTTTATTTTCAATATTATCTTCAGGACTCTGTTATGAAAGAAGTGAAATATAAAAGAGCACACATGTAAAGTTGTTTGAAAAACTGGTTTGGTAAAGTTCTGCCTAACCTTATTTTTTACAGCCATGATCCCAAACCAGCACATCTCCTTGTGATGACTTTCCCTATTAGAGCGTGGTTCGGTGCGCCTTAGAGAAGTCATCTATTCAGTATTTTTTCTATTGATTTCTTTTTTTGCGTGTGTCTGTAGAGAGGGCAGCTGCTCGTGTTTCCGTCTCCATAGAATCCAAAACATGTGTTCTGTTTTCTAACTAATTTGAACCCATTAGTTAAGATAAAATATGTAGATGAGAAGATTGTTCTGATCGGAATGTCTCATTTTTAATAGTTTCTGATTGATTTCTGTCAGGAAAGTTAGATTCTGCTTGGATTTAAATGCAATTTACCATCTTATCTTAAAATGCCAGCAACCTTGGCGCCTCTATTAGATACTTTTTGGAAGGTGTGATATTAGCTAATTCTAACGCGAGTAATTATTAAGGTTTGTGTGAGTTTGCACAACAGTTAATTAGACAGAAACCTCTCTGGTTCATTCTGATAATATCCTAAATCATACATGTAACGTTTGTAACACTAATAAACTTCCTAAATGTGTTTGATCCGACACTGGAATGATAAAATACTATCTAATCGGTTATAAATACATGGGTTAATTCTTAAGTATACTGGGTTTGACTACATCACATTAGGGCTTATTAAGGTTTAGAAAAATGTGATCAGATCACCAAACTCCCAAATTATGTACTTGGAATGAACAAACAAATCTCATCCTAATCCATAAAACGCGCGTAAATGCGCGCATCTTTTTGGACACATTGCCTTCAGATGTTATACCAACTGAACACAGCTGTATTTAAGTTTTTAAACTACACTTTACTTATATATGAGGTAGTTCGAAAAAGCCAGGTGTATTTTTTTATTTATTAATTAATTTTTTTAAACGAAGCACCTCTATATAGTCGCTTTTAACAATATTATGTCTCTCTTCTTCCCCTCTAATCCACGTAAATGGTAGAAAATTAATTTATTTTCTCAGTCTTATACCTCAGAGAACCTTAGAGGGGCGGTGCTGCTTCCTCTCCTCCTCCCAGTTTCCATCTCTCTCAACCGGGAAGGCTGGCTTGGGGCGTGCGCTCTTGTTGGCAGCTCCCAGAAATACGCAGAGGGGCGGGGGGCAGAGGGGGTGAGAACACCAGACAGGAAGACTGATCCATATCGATGAGAACTAAGTAAAAGTACCGCCATAAAACTCTGTGGCATCATAGCTTTTATTTTTCCAGTCAGCCTTAAACCCTAATTACGCATTCTGATTCCCCCCTCTGTGGCACCGAGAAGATGCCCAAATGTTCACCCTGTGCGTCTCCCTGGTCCTCCCTGTGGCTGACATCTTTTGTTATTTTGGTGGTGCAGTCGGTAATCTCTTCCTCGTACTCTTCCTCCTCCACATACCAGAGAACCGCAGCTGGAGGGAAGCGACCAGGCTTCTTGAGGAGGACGCTGGTTCTTTTGGATGTCAACACCCGCAGTCCGATCAGAGTCCTCAACGACAACTTCTTATCGTTGCAGCTGGACCCCGCGATCATCAGAGACGGCTGGCTGGACTTTCTGAGGTACCAAAACTATCACCATAAGCACCGATCTGCCCGAATCTCCACCTCTGAAATGTCCAACACTAATCTGTAGAAGCCCACCTCCAAAATGCTTCGTTTTTTTCCTCTTTCTGTTGTTTTATATTAGTAACGCGCACAGCCACGTTGTATGAATTGTCATGGAGTGATCAGGCACGTTTCCTGTTTTTCCAAGAATATTCATAATCCTTTTAATAGAGAAACAATAAGCCTGTAGGCCCACTGAAAATCAAAACGTGTATTTTTATTTTGTATTATCCCCTGTATGTGCAGCAGTCACATACTAAAATGATTATCAAGTACATAAAACTGTCCCTCTAGTGTAAGTTTATTTATCTTGCTTACAACGCTTCTAACTGTGGTAGTAGATTATAAATTGGGAAAATTTTCATTTGATAAATTATGTTTAAAGTTTTATTTCCATAAAAGTCTTGTCATTTCAGTAACGTTTTCAATGGCTGTGGATTTTTCTTATCATAGAGGAATACCACGCTGGATTTAGTTGACTTTTTTTTAATGGTTAATAACTGCCTAGTGGCCAGCCCAAATAATGTAAACATCAGAAAAAAAACATGAAAAATTGGAAAAAATATCAATCCTTTAGGGAAGAGCTAGAGAGAGCCTGGAAGGTGAAGGCAAATGTAGGGCCCGGGGTCATTGGAGCACTCGGGGCAGTAACCCCAACACTGGAAAAGTGGCTCCAACTGATACCTGGAGAAACATCAGGGATCTGAGCCCAGAAAGGTGTGTGTGTTCTTTTTTTGTTTTTGTCTATGTTTTAAGATGTTAGACCTTTGTTGTGTTATTCACTGGTGAATTTGAGAGACGTAAATGTTTGCATTAGATCACTTAAAAAAAACCCGTACCGTATAAATCTTTCAAACTTATGCATCCTTCTTTTAAAACGAGGAGCTAAAGCTTGTTCGCTTGTTTACACAATTATTCCGTCACTTAAAGATAAGTTGATATTGTATATATATATATATATATATATATATATATATATATATATATATATATATATATATATATATATATATATATATATATAT